CTGAGGCGAAAAGAGCCGGAGGCGCCGGTGCCCTTGGTCTGCACCAGGGTGCCCTTGCTGACGAGGCTCTTGAGCCCCAGCTTGATGCGGCTGTTGTTCTTCTCCACATCGTAGCCGCCGGCGGCCAGCGCCTTCTTGAGCGCGGCGAGGGAGAGCCCCTTGCGCTCCTTGGAGGCGGACACGGCCTTGGTGATGAGCTCGGTGACGCTGGGCCCCGCGGGCTTGCGGCCTTTGGAGCCGCTCGCCGCCTTCTTCGGCTTCTTGGCGGCGGCCTTGGCGGCGGGGGCGGCCACAGCGGGAGCGGCGGCGGGAGCGGTCTCCGACATCGCTGCAGAGACTTCTTCCTAATGAAAAGAAAGTAATTGGGCTCCGGTAACCCCGATGCCTGAATTTATAGCGAAGCGGTGATCTGTGATTGGTGCTTTGCAGAGCCCGCCTAACTGTTAGCCAGGAAGAGCTTTTCCTCCTCCGAGTCTGTGTTTCTTCGGAGTTATAAATTCATATTTTTCGTAAAACGAGCGCCGTAAAATCACCCCGCTTTCTTCGGAGAGTGAAGAGAAGACGGTGGACTTTCATTCGGGCAAGTTTCTTGCTGTTTGGAGCGCAGATGGCAGAGAAAAGCTGTTTTTAACCCCGCGTTGTGAAGCCAGAGAGACCCCGGGAACGGCAAACTTTTGTTTTTCCTTCTAAATTAAAATAAAACGCGTAGATAAAAAGTCTCCCCCGTACCTCAGGCTTACTCTTTGGGGGGTTTTCTTCAGATTAGGACAGAAACCGAGCGAGCAGCTAGAGTATTTTTGTCGTAAATTGATTTCAAAGACAAGGAAGTAACACAATTTCATGGCTGAGCTTTGAATATGGATAAAGATTCGGCTCTCTTAACCATATCTTTAACTATCAAGGATGCGGTATTTCAACATATTTTCTTGTTTCGGGAAAGGAAGACACCTTCAGAGGAATATATATACTGTTGAAAAGTGTTTGGAACTTGCCAGTGTTACGCTTTTTTTTTCGTTGGGTTTTTTTTTGTGTTATTTTGTTTTGGTTTTTGTGTGGCGTTCTGTAAGTGGATAGAAAGATTTTGAAATTTTTACAAATAGTCTGTCTGTAAAATGAAGCTGTTAATGCCTAGTTAATGCCTAAAAATCCCTGATAAACTGCTGGTTTAACACTTTCTCGGTTATAATAGTGGATGCTATTCTTTATGACTTACAAAAACATCAGAGGCAGACTCGGAGAGGAAAAATGTCTTACAGGTATTGAAACACTGGTATGTGTTATATACTGCTTAAACATTCATAGAGCCAGCTGAAACATCAGGGATCACACAATAAATAAAATAATGTGGAAATCTCGCCTTCATGAAGAGAATGCTTCAGTTTCAATAGAACTTAAAAATATTTGGACACTGACTGTTGTGGTTTTGTGTTTTGGTTGTGTGTTTGGGGTGGGATTTTTTGTTCTTGTTGGTTTTTTTTCCCCATAGGTTTCATGTTCCTCTAATTCTTTTCTTTGGAGGAAAAGGAAAAAAAATCGCTATTGAGGTTTTCATCCCAAGCCTAAGAATATTGAAATAATTTTAAGACAAAACTCATAAATCAGAGTCAGTTTTAATTATCATAATCCCACTTAATTATTGAGTCCCATAAACTGACAATAGAAATTAATTAAAATTTTTTAGTACTGCAGTGAATTGTTTAAGCTAATTTTTTATTAAATCAGAAAACAAAAGCCTCTATTTGTTTATAATTAAAAAGCAGACAGATTTTTTTCCCCTTGGTTTGAAAGAAGTTAAGATTGAACTTAATATTTTACCACAGTGTACTTTGTAAAAATTTGTCATGCAAAATGTCAGTGGGCTATTTCAACAATGGAACATCTTTTCTGACCTGGATAAATCTGAGATTCAAGATGACATGAAGTATGTTACAAAGGGCCCTGACTTGTATTCTGATACACTGAATGTTGAAGACACAATAAAGTTATGCTTGTTGGTATAAACAGCAGTTTTAATTTAAATGAGACAGATTAAAATGGCAATGATACATTGAAATTACAAGTGAAAACAATAAACCGCGGCTCTTCCATATTCTCTTTAATTTCTATTTTCATTTTGTTGTGCTTGCATGCAGGTGAATAAATACTTTGAAGGGGAGGAATGGAAAGCAGAGATTGGAAAAAATGAGATTTGTCAGGACTCCACAGTAAAAAACAGACTGAAAGGCATATTGAAGTGGGCTGTGAAATCTGCCATGCTTCTCGTGAACATGACATTGATCCCACATAAACAACTCGACCAAGTCCAAAGTAGCTGCAGATTTTGAAAGTTCAGTGTGGCAAGTCCTGTGAACGCTATGAATATGTTTCAGAGGTAAAAAAAGCAGTAGGATGAGGGCACTATGCATATTTTCCAGTCTAGATGAACAAAGATAAAGCAGAATCTGGCTAAGTGATGCAAAAGTGAGCCGGGAAGTGTTGTCATCTATCCGAGCCTGTTTAATGTGATGTACATTCTTCAGAGAATAAAGACTTAGGTTAATGTGCTTTAATCCCTGCAGCTTTGACAGTTTGGTGTTAGGGCTCTGGGACTGCTTTATTACGCTTGAAAGTGCTGGAGCATCTGGGATCAAGCGGGAGCGGGCAGCGGCCGCTCCTGCAGGAATGCAGCTCGAACCCCAGGGGTGCATCCTCCTCCCTCACTTCACTCCTTTGGGCAAGCTTCCATTCAGGCTTGCTTTCAGTAAACCTGTTCTCAGCTCCTCAGGAGAGGAGATCTTTCCTTCCCTTCCCCCATAAACAGACCGGATAAAGGTCAGAGATAAAGACACAAGAAGAAAGCGATGGGAGATCTCAGATCTTGCTCCTTAAGTAGCGGTCATTGGAACTCCACCTGCAGCAGATAAGGATTGTTGTCCCTACTCTGTGCTAACTTTTAAAGGCACAGGAAGGTTTCTGGATGGATTTTGGGTTTCTTTGTCCTTTTTTTTTTGTAAGAAAAGCATGAGAAGAAGATTGTGAAGGTTGTCATCTAAATTATTTCAAGGGTAGAATGTAGGACTTCTCTCACTTTTAGCTCTGGGTGCATCGCTGTAAATCCTCGTGTTCCCTGCTCCCTATTTTGAGTTGCACTTCTGATTTTCCCTGGTAGCCTGAGACATTGGAAGCCTTGGCAGCTGGCCCCGGGCATTGTGTGTCAGCATCCTTTATTTTGTCTTTCCTTAACCATCACGCTGGCTCTTATCTGCACAGAGAATTATCCCTGGCCTACTTGGGAAGAGACAAAATGTTCCTGGTCTCACCATCCATTTCTGGGGAGGGCGATTTTTAAATTTTTTTATTTTTAATATATTTTTTTTGTGTGTGTGTGTTAATAAATAGAAGGAATTTAGAATATGAGGAAGTGTGAAAAGGGGAGGCTTTTTAGGGGTTATTCCTGCTCTCTGGGCCAAGCAACGACATTTTCTAGTTAATTGGGTAAAAGAAACTTGTCAGGAGCTTTGAGCAATTTTCAAGTTTGCACTCCTGGAAATAGCTCTTAATCACAACACTGAACCACAACGGAAATTCTTGTATTTTAGAGACTGATCATTACAAATAGAATTGACATTGCCCCTGGTGTTTTACTGATAAGAGAAAAAAGACAAAGCAAAGCAAGCATCTGAACACATAATTTTTAAAATCAGTGGTAGATTAGGGAACATTTTTTTCAGCTAGACAGAGAAATTTTCTTTCTGTCAAAAAAATTACTTGAAAATAGAATAAAATTTGAGATTGAGCTGCTAATAAAAATTGCTTGCGTTTTCTGTGTGAAGAGATGATATTTAAATGTGACTCATTTAATACTTAATTAAACAGCAAACATTTTTCAGTATTCCCCTGATTTCCCTTCCAAGCAACCTGTACAATTGTTGTCTCTTTTTATCTCTCACTGAGTGATATCTGTATCCTCTTACTGAGGAACTCAAACCAATTTTTGTGCCCACTTTAAATGCGTACCCAAAACACGTTCTTGTTCCCTTGCACCACCACACACGTGCTTCCTTGCTCAGCTCTGTAGCTGCTAGGGCAGATTACTGAGGAACCTACGAAATGACAGAGTATTTTCTAATGTGGGGATCTTAAAAACCAAAAATAGTTCATATATAATGCAAGAATTCCTAAAAGTGCATAGTAGAGAAAATACATAACTTTTCTACTTGTAAAGAGAGAAGCTTCTCCAGGAGGAAAAACAGATTAGACATTAGACAAATAAAGGAAAATAAGACATTCAGACTGCTGGAGGAGAGCAATCCAGATAAGCTGATTAGACAAATTTAGCTGAAAGCCTAGACTCACTTAATTACAATTACTATAGTTAGGATGGTGAAAATACAGAGAAATTGAAAACTTTTAACTGAAGCATGATGTCTTCTCCATAAATAATAATTTTGCAGTCACTCAAGTAATCACTTTCAATATTAATAATAAAAGCATCATAACAATAACTTTTCTCTAAAAAGGCATTAGTCAGGTCTCTGTCATACTGAAACTATATTGACAATACGAATTCAGCAACTGCAAAGTTTATATGTAGGGAAGATTCAAGGTGCCAAAGAGTTTTCAGTAGTAAAGAAACCTGTATCCTTTTAGTTATACTTCAGCTAAGCTAACAAAAATATATGGACAGTTATTTCAGCATTAGGACAATCAAATCTCCTAAAAAAAAATGCATCTCATCTTTTAATCTAACACCTAATGCAATAGGTCCTGGCCATGCTCCAAGAAGGATCAGCTTGAGCAGAGGGGCACTAAAACCTTCACGGGGAGCATGTTCCAAAAAATGAATTCTTACATTTTAATCGAATTTCCCGTGTTTCAGTTTGTGCCCATTGCCTCTCTTCCTGGGCAGTACTAAGAAGAATGAATCTGTGTCTTCTATTCCACCCACAGGATTTCTGAACACATTAATAAGACACTCCTCACGTGAGAGATGCTCCAGTCCCTTCAGCAATTTTGTGGCCCTTCAGTGGTCCTACTCCAGTTTCTGCTCATGTTTCTGTTGCCCTGGGAAGATCAGAAATGGACACAGCACTCCAGTTTCGCTCACCAGTGCTGAGTGGAGGGAAACAATTATTTCCCTCGTTACCATTTGGCACATAGTTCTCCTCCAGGTTAATTTATGAATCTGTGTATAGATTAACCCTGAATGACACTCCCATGACTTTTTAAATTTTGGTAGTTCAGTAGAGAAAGCTTCAAAAGCCACTTTAACCTCTCACACAGTCCTTGGTTTCAAGGCTTGTCAAGATGAGTTTGAGCATCCCTGATTTGGCTCGGTGTTCATGCTGTATATGACCAAAGGATTTGTTAAGGCTAGTTAGAGTCTCAGCAAAACTTAAATTCCTACCCAAATCTTCTCTTTTCCCCCATACAATGAGAGCATAAAACATCAAAATATTCCTCCTGGCTTCTGAAAGCCTTTGGATCAGAGATCCTCTTCTAACCAAATCTGACTTCTCTCCATTCTTCCATGGGATTGAGAATTACTGTTAGTAGCAGTAGTAGTGTTAGAATGCTTAGGAACCTCATTTATGAGCAGGATTCTGTGTTACTTTATTCCACAGAGCAACTAATTTTGTATTGATTTGAGCTGAAGAAAATGGGGAAGAAAGTGCAGAAAGATGAGGAAATATAGGGATCTACATGCAAAAATATGGAGATGTAACCCTACTTCTGCAACTTTTTGTAATTTTTACAGAGTGCCCAAAAGGAACTGGACTGTGGTATTTGAGACTATGTGACAGGCTGTCTATTCTCCCAGGAGCACAACGGAGTCCCTTTTTATTTCTTTTTGTGACAGAGGTTGTAAATATTGATTCAGTCAGAAATGCAAATAAAACCAATGCCATCAGTATAGAAAAACTCTGTCCAACCCCTTCAGTGAGACCCAGGATGTACATGTTATTAAATGCCGTTCCCCAAGATAGCAAAGGTAATTCCAGCCCTTCTTTCTGAGTGGAGGGAAACAGGATGCTGAAAGTTTTCCTGGCACAATGTGCTGCAGGGCCAGCTATGCACCCAGTCTATCTCCTGCTCTTTAGGTATCTGAAGAGTATGGCCAAGACCTTGGTACAAACTCAGTCATTTTGGGTTACAGATCAATGCATTTCTCAGGTTACAGACTCTGCACACACGGAGGAAGGGACAACTCATTGATGTTGAGCTGTACTAATTACAAGGTCAAACAATTTCAGGGAAGATATGAATAAAAATTAAATTTTATATTATTCAAAACAGATATAAAGAAAGAAATGAAAACCATGTTTAATAGGCTTTTCTCAAAATTTACTTTCAGAAGAGTCTCAGTACAAGGTGCAATGTTCCTCTAGAATTTGATGATACACTACAGATTTTCTCTCAATTTAATTTTGTTTCATTTTAGAAAAATA